CAACTTGTAATATTTTTTTCTACTTATTTCTCTATATTTTTTCCTTTCAAGTTCATTCATAACACAATTATAAATTTAATTAATGTTACTTTTTTTCCTTTTTTTAAACAACTAGGCATCCAATCTAAAGAACCAAAACCCAATAGTAGTAATAGAACAACGACCCAAATAAGACAGAAACAACTGAATAACTTATGATATTCCTAATTAGTAGAATATCTGAGAATGAATAACTAGAGAATGAGATAACGGTATATTATTTGCATGAAACTTTGATTTTGATTACATCAAATGAATTTTTTCAAATGAAAATGCTAGAGCAAAATCTTTGTAAGACCAAGACCATATTTTTCTAACACATTGTAGGGTTGAAATATAGCAAAATACTTGACCATTGTTAATGCCGTTCATAATTGAAGTCCACAACTGATAAAGGAAATGGGAAATAGCACAAAGGTTGTTGGTTACAGAAAAAAATACTTTGAAATTTGATTAACTTACATGTCTGTTACAAATAGACCATAGAATTTAATGAAACTTAAACAATCCCCGAGACTCCGAAGGATGACAATATTTTATAACATTCTGCTCTTCCAAATGCAATGATAAGTGTATGAATCAAGAAAATATGTATGTAATACATATTGATAGATCTCAATTTGAAGATCTATCTTTGTCTAATTCTTGACTAATTTCCTTGTTCAATATGCCCATTTGATTGAATTTGTATTGATTCAAGCTGAATTGTCACTTTAATTAATTCTGAGTTAGAGCAATTAAAAAGAAAGAAAATTAAACTACTATAGAGAAAACTTATTGTTGACTTTTGTTGAACTCAATTGTGTAGTTAACTATATATTTTTTGATTTGTAGATAATAAAAAGAGAGAGAAGATGCCCTAATAAACCAACCCAACAACAAAAAAGAATAAAAAGCTCAACAAAAGTCAAAAACAGAAAAATTGACAAAAAAAACAAGAGGCAAGACTGAACAAAAACAAAAAAGGACAAAATATCTTAACAAACCAAAAAGCATAAAAAAACTTTTTCACACCAAGGAGACAACATGGAAGAGAGAAATGGGTAATAAAAGAAAAATGTAAAGAAAGCATCAATGTAAGAAAGGGAAAAATAGAGATATAATCTAAAACATAGGATCAAATAGGAATTGAAAGGAGCTGATTTGACATGAAATTGGGGATATATGGAGATATGATTCTAGAGGCAATTTCTTTTTTTTGGAGGACTCCATTTTTCCACATACCCAAGCTTATCTCTTTCTTCATCTTCTTCTTTTTCTTTTTGTTTCTGCAAAACATTTTTCTTTTTCTTCTTTTTTGTTTTCTAGTTTTAGTTCTCTATTTTAGGATCATTTATGTAATGTTTTTGTCTATTTTTTTTCCTTTGTTGTATGCTTAGACATGCTTCAAAGCACAATCCAAGCTTCTTCTTGTTGTTGCTGCTTTTTTAGAGCAACAACTTCTACCACCTATTTTTGAAACTTTATGTGGGAACAATATCTGGGACTCTAACAATCCCTATATTACATGATATGTGCACTTGAACCAGAGAGCTCAGTAATTGCTCCATAACTGTCTTCCTTGACAAATATTGAATTTGCTCCGTCACATATCATAAACAAAATTAGCTGTAATGAGGATACATTAGATTATGGAGAAAATTGATTATACATTAGCAACATCACAAGATAAAACGAGAAAAGAGGAAAACAAAAAATATAGACAACAAGAATCCCCTTCAAATATACTAAATTCTATATATTTTTACTCTCTTGCTTTTTCATTTAACAGTCTCCTTTATATATGAAAGCAAAATAAGGTTATTATAATATTTAAATTTTTATTTTCATATTTCAGCACTCACAAAGAAATGATGGTGCAACAAGTTTCTCAGTATAATTTGGTCGACCAAGAGAGTCAAGCCCTACCATCCGGATGTGCACAATTCTATGGAACACCTTCCTCACTTGGCACTCCAAAGGGTCTAGTCCATCTTTCAAAGCATTACAAACTTGTGAAACCTCCTTCTCTATCCTCCGTTGATAGGAACTGCATAGAATCAACCAATTCATGTTGGGTTTATGCTCTTACTCTACAAAGCCCAATCGGGCTCAAGTTATGAGAAAAGCCCAAGTAGCCTAGGGATACTTGGCACCCATTTATATTCTCACTTTTAGCCATCAGCCTGTAGGTCTTCTTCTGTTGTTGCATAGGCTGGGGTAAGGTCATCTCCCTGAGAGTGAAAGAGTGCCCACACACCACGTTATTCCCCCTTGAGAGATAGTCTGGAAGGTCTGCTAACTATTGCCAACCAGCTACAAGGACAAAGTTCATGCTGCGATGCAGAAGTGATCAGTTCGTGAAGGGAAATCATACACGAGGTGATTCTGCACAAATCTGCACATCAAGAGGTAAACTATAACAATGACATGATGATCCATTTCATTCCAAACCACAAGGGTCTTAAAGCTGGATTACGTATTTGGATGTGGATCTAGTTCTTTGATTTACATTATTCATGTAATTAGTTTACTTTATGAAATATGGCACCTAGGATTCTATGAATAATGGTATATGTTTCGCATGTGTATCTTTATAATTTCCTTCATTAAAAGTGATGCTTTGATATTATTTTAGCTTTAATCCATGGTAGATATTTCATTGTATTTTCTTGAGTTGTAACAAGGAGGCTAATCCCATATGAATAAGTTTCCTCCTTGAATTTTTTATTTTAATTTTTTGTATATTTTTCGTTGTATTACAAAATTGTAATGAAAGAAAATCAAAAGAGGCAACAAGAAGGATGTTTGTCTCTATTTTGGGTGTGTTCATGATCATTCGATGGTCGATTTGAGAAACCAACCCCATGGCATGGAAGAGGACAGAAAATCGAGAAAGACGACAACCGAATCCACTGGGAAGACACCAGACGTGTCGCCAAGCGCAATTGGAAATGGCTGTGAATGGGCGCCACTCGCCTGAAAAGATGTCGTGCGTGTAGGTGCGTGAAAGGTCATATTAGAGGGGTTCCGATGGTCGTAGCTTTATCTCTTCAGGGCGGTCTTGGCCCTAGAGTTTCGTGCTGAGATGATTTCGGGTGACGTTTAGGTGCTTGAAAGTTGACTTTGGGTTTCTTGCCAAAGTTTGGTATTTAGGGTCTTTGGCCCATAGTTACCATAAAGGGGCTTGAACCAGATCCCTATGGACCAAAAGGAGGGCTGGAGAGTTTTTATTTGTATTTTTATTTTTATTTGTATTTTTATTTTTCTCTAGGAAACCTTAGATTAAAGTCTATTTGAATTATTATTATTTTGAGTGGATTATTTATATGATTAATAACATGCTCGATGTGATAACATGCCATATAGAATAGGTGGTGTCATATTGTTGCATAACTTGTTAATTACATGGGCACGATGATTGTTAAAGTTTGCACGACTAGATTAATAGTCTTCCATGCATTAACATTTTCTCCTTCCTGCTCTTGGGTTTGGCCAATTGGTTAAAAATTATCTTATTCATTTGGTATCAAAGCTATGCGTATATGATTATAAAACCCAATTTTTTTATTTATTAAAATAATTCTAAATTTGCATATAGAACTTCAAGTTCATGATAAAATTTCGTTTGGAATTTTTTGTAATTGATCTTGAAAACCGTGGGATTTTTGTTTTACATGTGATAAGAGTTTGCTAAGTATATGTTATATGCATATTTTAAGAAAATTTTGAATATGAATTTTTGGGTTTTATTACATGAAAGTTTAGAAAATTTCTCAAATTATTTTCAATCGATATGTTAAAATCTTAAATTGCTTTGCAGCTTTTGAAAAACAAGTTTTTAGTTATCTATTGACACAAAAATGGTTTGAAATCGTTTCTATAGCAAAAGAATTTCGTTCATGAATGTATTGTTACGAAATATAGGGTTTATATTATGAAAGTTTCAATCTTTCTTTAAATTGACCTTGTTTCATTGATGTAAAACGAAAATTGGTTTGAGGATTTTAGTTCCTCTATTGTTTTCTTACTGTTTTATATTGTTTTTAATGCAAAAATTATATTTTTTTGTGCCAAGAAAAAATCGAGACTAATAACTTCAAAATTTATTATTGAAACTTCTAAAAGCTCTAAAAAAATCTGCTGTTTTTGAGATAGATTATATTATAATATTGTTGGTTTGTTATTTCTGGTTTATTTTGTGATGAAAATTGCCAAAAAGATCTGCTATTTTTGAGCTTTGACAAAGCTCCTACGGCGAAACTCGATTTCAAGCGGATCAACCCGTTAAAGGAAGAAAAAGACACTGCAATACAAAAATCTTAAGAAATCTTAAGGGTCAGGGTGAGATTGTGAGGGAGACATCCTATTTATATTTCTCATTGAAAAGTCTCACGAGTCCACACTAATAGAAAATTCATTAAAATCGTCAGATTTTTGAATACCATAAGATTATTATTATTTTTTTAAAATCCTGATTAAATACAAACGAATTTGGAAGGACTCTAAAATAATCTTTTAAAATCCTAATCGAATACACGTAACTTTTTTTCAATCTTTTAAAATCTTAATTAAACACCAATATATTTTTTTGTCCGAAAATAATCCATTAAAATCTTTTGAAATTCCAATCTAATACACCCTTCTTAGTTCATAAATTGATACTTAAAATTTTAATTTGGTATTCAATTTTTTTTAAAAAAATAATTTATTATAGTACGGATATTAATTAAAAAAAATTATTTTACATATGTCTTAAGTAAGTCCACAAAAAAAAACCTTATGTTTCTGACACAAAATTTATTCTCGTGACATGTTATAGAAATTAGTAAAATAGAAATTAGAAATTCTAAAATCTGATTGGCCAAAATGCGTGGTAACACGTCAAAATGCCATGTGTAATTTGATGGTATTAACCTCGAAACTTCTGGACGCTATCCCCTCTCCCCCTGGAAACTTATTTATCGAACCGCGATTCCGTTACCGTCACTGTTACCTCCGAAAACGAAAGCTCCGATATCCGAATTCAAACTCTCTCCGGCTAAAGGTTCTGGTTCAGGTTCGAACCCGGGTATGAGGACTCGTATTGCTACCATATGGGTCTTCGTGGCTACGCTATGTTTCCTTGCAAGCTTTTTGGAATTGGAAGCCAAAAGCATCGACCCCTACAAGGTCAGTCTCAAACCCAAGTTTTCTTTCTTTCTTTCTTTTCCAATTTGATGAAACTTGGTTCAGGGTTTGAGAAATGGAGAAATTCCCATTGCGTTCTTGGTAATTTGTTACTTATAGCTTAATCTTTGGTTGCTATATAGAATGCTCAATCTGGGTTATCTTTTAAGTTTATAAATTTGGGTTTTTTTTTGCCATATGACCGTTTTTTCTAAATTTTTTTCTTTTTAATTTTATTTCTTCTTGGTTTGATCTTATCAAACAATGTCAAGCATGTTCTGAGAATGTCTTTGTATATTTAAATTGATGAATATTCAATTCAAAGTTTTTGTCTTTAATTGGTTCAAGACCTGAACGAGAAAAGGATGCTAAATCTTTTATTTCAAGCTGGCACTGATCAAGAATCAAAGATGGATTCCAAATGGGGTGAAAAGAGGAAAAATTTATTTATTCATTTATATTTTTTGAGAGCATAAACTGATTGTACATGCTTGAATTTTATCAGGTTCTTGGGGTTGATAAAAATGCAAGTCAGCGGGAAATACAGAAGGCTTTCCACAAGTATGTCTATTTTGTATTCTTATTGTTTGTGACATGGCATTGTGTAAACCATTCTCTTCTGATAACTGATTTTCTTTATTAACTCGCCTCGTAATTTGTTTTTCAGGCTCTCTCTCCAGTATCACCCTGACAAGAACAAAGCCAAGGGTGCACAAGAGAAGTTTGCTCAGATCAATAATGGTATAAAATTTTTTGTATTCTCGCTCTCTACCAAACACACATACACAAAAGCTCATACTTGCTGGAACAAAGAGTTATGCTATAGTCAATTATATAAGTAGTTTCATGCTCTTTTGTAGGCTTACTTTCTTCCTATTTCTTGTTTGAGGATGTTCATGTGTGTGTTATTTTTTTCGTTTATCAGCATATGAGATCTTATCCGATGAACAGAAGAGGAAGAATTATGACTTGTATGGAGATGAGAAAGGAAATCCTGGTTTTGAAGCTGGCCATCCAGGAGATCAGGGTGGATATACTTATTTCACGGGAGGTGGTCCCGGACAAAGCAATTTTAACTTCCGACCAGGGGAATGGCAGGGCATGGGTGGGCAGGGAGGCTCTAAGTCATTCTCCTTTTCCTTTGGCGGCTCTGGTGATTCAAATTCTTTTGGATTTGGTTTGGATGATATTTTTGGCAGTCTTTTTGGCGGCGGCGGCGGTGGTGGTGGGAGACAGTTTGGTGGTTTTGGCAGTTCAACTAGTTCTCAATCTGGGTCCAAGAGTTCTCTCAAAAGTTTTAGAGCCATAAATTCACATATCTACAAGAAAGAAATAGCTGATCAAGGGATGACTTGGTTTTTGTTATCTTATACACCCTCATTGAAGGGGATCCAATACTTTGAATCCACTGTAGAGGAGGTTGCCAGTTCATTGCAAGGAGCTTTGAAGGTTCTTATTTATTTCTGAACTCTTTCATTTTCGTTGATTGTGATAGGTTGGCATAGCTTATTTCTCTCTTCTGTGTGACAGGTTGGAAGCATTAATTGTGAAAAGGAAGTCTCATTATGTAAGGAGCTTGGTGTCAATCCACGCAGAGCTCCAAGGCTTTTTGTTTATTCTTACAAGGAGAATGAAAAGGGTTCTTTGGTGGAATATGGTGGTGACTTGGCTGTTAAGAATTTGAAGGCTTTCTGTCAAGAACACTTGCCAAGGTTTTCAAAACGGACTGACTTGAATTATCTTGATCAATTTAGCACTAATGGAAAGTTGCCTAGGGTGATGCTTCTCTCCACCAAGAAGGACACTCCTGTAATTTGGCGTGTGCTTAGCGGCTTGTATCACAGACGCATTACTTTCAGCGATGCAGAGGTATGTAAGTGCTGGTTGTGAACATTTTTTTTTTTTCCGGTTAATCTCTTTCTTTAAACCAATTGAAGGTTAACAAGATAAAGGTAATTCATTAGACTCAATCAGCCTATATCGTGATAATGTTTTAAGTACTTGTCAGGTTTTTTATAGCTTATTTCTTGGGGGAAATTACACTTGGTTTTTGTATTCATGTATGAACAAAATTTAATGTGTATCTTGAATCATTTGTAGGTTCATGATGTATCGGATCCAAGAGTGAAAAGGCTAGGAGTTGATGCACTTCCAGCTATTGTAGGTTGGCTACCTAATGGAGAGAAGCGAATTCTGAAAACAGGGATCTCTGTAAAAGATATAAAATCTGCAGTTCTTGATCTTAGTAATGTACTTGATAGTTTTGAAAAAGTTAGTAAAAAGGAAGCGTCAGGTCAGGCCAAGAAAACACGAAGTGATTCAGATGAGGGACACATACAGTTGCTTTCTAGGTCAAACTTTGATGATCTTTGTGGTGAGAGAACTCCAGTCTGCATAATTGGTGCCTTCAGATCTTCTAAAGCTAGAGAAAAGCTAGAATCAATTCTCTCTTTGGTGAGTGTATATTTCATTTACTCAACAGTTTATATATAACTTTTTCTTGTGCAAACTCTCTAAGGGAGCACTGCAATTTCAGGTTTCTCAAAAGTCTTTGTCAAGACGCCCAAATCAAGGAGCAAGCTCTAGGGACTCTATTTCCTATGCTCTGTTAGATGCCGCAAAGCAACAGTCGTTTTTAAATAAATTTGATAAAACGGGATATAAATCATCTGATAAGTTGTTGATTGCTTACAAACCTCGGAGAGGGAAGTACACTGCATATATGGGTGAAATGACAGTAGAGGAGGTAGAGAATTTCATCAGCTCCGTTCTCAGTGGAGATATACCGTTCAGGGAGACACATAAGAAGCCTGTACTCAAGTAGAGCACTAGGCAATAACTCTGGATTTTGCGGTACTTTGGTTATACTCATGTACATATATTGAAAGAGAGTCTTTAGCTTTGAAACTAGCAAGAATACAGATAATATTTGCACATAATCTTATCTTATGAGGTTGAGTATGTCAAGTCTGTTATAATGAAATTTTCTTAAGGACAATATTATTTTAGTCTATCATTTTCCTTGAACATGGGGTGCTCTAGAAAACTCCTTGAACCTAATGCAAAGCAAACACTGAACATTTATAAGAATAGCATGCCTTATAATTGAATACATTTATGATTGTTTCTTTGATTTGGGTGTTATAACCTATCTTCTCTTCAAAACAAGATAGAATTTTATGTTTGTTTATAGAATAATCTATAGCAACTTAACAATATAATAAGTCAAGGAAAACAAAAAGGCTGATAGAATTTTTGTGTTGTTCATAATCATTTTATTATGTCACTCTTTAACATTATAGAGTGAGGGCGACAATGACTGTCATCTCGGCATCTCAAATTTGACATGGCAGAAAACGAGCACAGGGCCCACAATCATCGCAGAGTAGAGTGAAGCTGCTGCTTGGAATCTCACCGAGCCAGTTGAGAGTCACTAACACGTGTCACTAAACGATCCACTATAATTAGGATGGTGCAGAAACCATTCAAAGTTGGCAAGCTGGTAATGAAATCAAGGGTGAGGTCCTAGAATAAAACTTGTGCTGATCAGGTGTTTGTATAGTTTAAGATAGCAACTCTTTAATAGACTGATGGTCAGTACGGATAATGAAATCGGCCCCAAACTAATAATGGCGTGACTTCTCTACAACTTCCACAATTGTATATAATTCACGGAAAAAAAAATATTATTATTTAAATAAAAAATTAAGAAAATATAATATTTTGAAATCAATTTACAAATATATAGCAATCAGTCGCTTCTAAAATAAGCGTGAGTGGTCGCGTCCAATCTAGGCGCGATTCACTCAATGATGACACGTGCTATAAATTTTTTAACAGTTTTATCATAAAATTTTGAAAGGTCATAACTTTTGATTTGAGTGTTCGAATCAAGTATTTTTTTTCCACGTAACTTTTCTAGAGCTACGCGTTGGCAAATCCCTGAATTTGGTCAAAAATATTTCCCAAAAAATGTTTCCTTATGTCCTGTTTGGCACGTTAATGTGAATGATGTTATTTAAGTTGAAATTTTGTCTCCCACAAATACAATTTGATAATCACAAGAGTGTTTAAACCCAAAAACCCCTGAACTAAAATCATGAGCTACATCACGTACCATCGATTTCTTGGTCTAGTTTTCCCACTTCCCTATATCGTTAATAGTATTACTTCCTCGTCTCTTCATCATCTATGTGTATTATCCCGTTATAGTGGTTTTCCCAACTTTCATTAACCCGAGTCAGCAATTTGGCACTCTTTTTTTTGCCACTGTTAGTCTCTGAACCAGCGATTTTTTCAATAACAAGATCAGTATTCTAGGGCTTTCCGTAAAAAGAAACATTGTTATCCTTTGTTGCTTGTATGTATATGGAGAGAAAACCACTGTCATAATTATAAACATTTTTAACAAATAAACGTATGTTGTCTTTTTTTGGAAAATTTTGGTAGATAAAATGCTCTTGTGGTGGTACCATTATTGCAAATTCGAAAAAAATTGAATTTTTTTTACCAAATCCCCTTCAATGAGATTCAATTGCGTAGATCTCGAAAAGTTATGTGGAATAAAAAAAATTATTTGATTTGGATACCTAAATCAAAAGTTACGGTCTTTCGAAATTTTATGATAAAAAATGTTGATTTTTTTCTGCCATGTGTTAACACCAAACACCCTACTGCACCTTATTTGTGCGCGATCAGTCACACCTATTTTGCGTGCACGGGTTGCTATAAATTTGTAAATTGGTTCCAAATTGTTATGTTTTTGTAATTTGTTATGGGATAGGATATTGTGACAATCAAGTAAAGTTACAACTAATGTTACTACCAATCAATCTCATCGTTAGATTGGTAGTATCGATCTCACGGTCCTCATTGGTCTCTTAAATAGTCTCTTTTTATTCGTTTCTCTCTCCCTCTTCTCTCTCTCTTCCCTTCTCTCTCTCACTATACACTCTACCGCCGCTGCCCACAGCCTCTGTCCCGATGGGGTCGCCTGCCTCCGTCGCCGATTGGATTGGATCGGATGGTATAATTCCCAGTTGAAACAAATGGTCCGGTTCCGATTTCGATTTGTAAAATATTTAATCAGATAATTCATCAGCATTTTGATAATTAATGAATCTCAAATAGGTTTGTTTCAATGACCAATGCTAAGGAAAGTGCTTCGGTGCTCCAGCGACATCCAAATCGCTTAACTTTCACTGGTTTGCGAATCAATTATCTTAAAATAAAATATATTTTAATTTAATCCTTAAATTAAAACAATCATTGCAATAAAGTATTTAATTGTAGTGTCGTCTATGTCTGTGTTAGGGCAAACGCAAACACAAACACAGACGATTCTGGTAACGGGTGGGGCGGGGTTCATCGGATCCCACACGGTGGTTCAGCTTCTGAAGCAGGGATTTAGAGTTTTCGTAATCGACAATCTTCACAATTCCGTCATCGAAGCTGTCCATAGGATCCGCCATTTGGTGGGTCCTCACCGTTCCAACAATCTCCACTTCTTCCATGGTGATCTCCTTCGGGACAGAGACTGTGGGCAGCGGCGGCAGCAGAGTGTATACAGAGAGAAGGGGGAGAGAGAAACGAATAGAAAGGGACTATTTAAGAGACCAACGAGGACTCTGAGATGATCGCTACTACCAATTTAACGGTGAGATTGATTGGTAGTAACATTGGTTGTAACTTTACTTGGTTGTCATAATATCTTGTTATTTAAATAATTTTTTTCCCCATAATTCACGGATATATGTTGATTAGGCTTGCACTCTTGGCTCTGCTTAAATAGGAGGTTGGCTTTCCTTTTCGAAGTAACACTGCATCTATGCTATAATTTGAAGCATCAGTCTCGGCTATAAATTGTGATGCGAAATCTAGAAGGGCAAGCATAGTTTGTGATGTAGCTTTTTAAAGGATCTCAAGGCTTCATTAACCGCTTTTGTCCACTGGAGTTTGACAGCTTTAAGTAGGTTAAGGGAAGCATAATGCAAGACAATTCTTCTGTTATAATTAACTCGAGGAAGGCTCGTAGCTGTTTGACCACTGCATCGATGGAGTATTAGTCAGTCCAAATGGCATGACCAGGAACTCAAAGTGACCATCGTGCATCCCAAATGGTATTGGTAGAGCGCGTATTTAATGGTAGCATGAGAGAAGATCTTAGTGAATGTTGTGGCTCCAAATAATTCATCTAACAACTCATCTATAGTTGGAATGGGAAAGCAATTGTGTAGTCAACACACATTCGCCAACTTCAATCGCGAATTGTGAAGAATATTATGGGCCCTAACTGGGTTGTATGAAGCCTGGTTTTAAGAGTTCTGATACTTGGGCTTACTCTAACAAGTTTAGAGCTTTAGTAATCTCAAACCAGATTTTGATTTTTCTTTATTTTATTTCTTTCTCTCTCTCTCTTTATTTCTTTTTCCTTCTTGGATTGATCCTATCAAACAATGTCTATTTGCATGTTGTGAGAATGCATGCCATTATATATTTAAATTGAAGAATATTCACTTGCAAGTTCTAGTCTTTACCTAAATGATAAAAGATACTAATTCTTTTATCTAGCTGCGTAAACTGATTGTGTACATATCCATATTAATCAGGTTCTTGGGGTCTATGAGAATTCAAGCAAGAGGGAAATTCAAATGACTTATCACAAGTGTGTCTATTTTGTATTTTTGCTTATAATTAATCTTCTTTAACTGATTGTATTCCTGCTGATTTTCTTAATTAATTTGGTTTTGTTTCCAGGCTCTTTTCATTATCACCCTGATAAGAATCCAGCCAAGAGTGCAAAAAAGAAAGTATAGAAAGTTGTTTTTCAGGCTGTTTCTCCATTATGATTATTTTTAAAAAAAATTTGGATGTTTGTAATTTAGTTCCTCACTAATCAAATTAAACTAGATTCCTCTTTATTCTTGTGATTTCTTTTTCTTGTCATGTGTAAGCTTTTTTTTCATTATTATTAATGTTATATTAGCTCAGTACTGTTGTTTCTTGACTTTGAATTATTATTATTTATTTTTTGGATTATGTCATCTTTACATTTTTTTATTTGTAAACTATAATTGCCATCAAGAATAAGAATAAACTTACCGACTTATTTGATGGAAGCTCAAACTATCAATATATAATTAGAGATTAATACTTCTCGTATTGTAAAAGATAATTGTTATCTCCTACACATACATAAAAATATATGAGATTTTTTTTTTTTTTTTTTTTTACATAATTTCATATAAATCTCACGTATAAGAAATAAAATTATCTCCTAAAAACAATAATCACATATTCTCGTAACATAATGGAGCTGTAACTAGTACTACGTACACTTACAATATTGGAGCATATTCCCTGCCTTGTAATGCAATATAATAGCTGGCAGCTATGACTTTTTTTGTTTGTCTCATTGTTTTCTTTTGTATCAATGCAATATAACAGGTGCGGTGTGAGTGTGATTACTGAAAATAATTTTGCCCTAAACGTTGTTGACTCAAGTTGTGAAGTCTTTAGTGGGATTTATCTGTAGACTCAAAATTTATTTTATATCTCGTTTATTATAAATAAATACTAGTGTTTTTTTTTTAAAAAAAAAATTGGTTATTTTTATTCAAGTCATTCTTTATGGTATCTAGCTAAAAATAATATGATCAGTTCGGTTCACTATAAACCGGGTTAAATATAAACTAACTTGTATCGGATCAAGTATAGTTTAAGTTGGAAAATTGACTCATTATCTTACATTTCCTTTATTTGTTTATATAATAGAGTCTTAAGCAATTTTAAGCAATTTGCGTAATTAACTTATATTAAAAAATTAAATTAACTCAAATTAAAAAAATTAAAATTAATTATTACTTAAAATAGATGAGTGTTTGTTTTAAAATAATATTGAGACAAAACTTTAAAAGAATTTAATAATTATATGATTAATTATAACAATTTAAAACTTATAATAAGCTATCTTGTCCACTATAAATTAGCTTATATCGAATTAGGTCAAATCGGTCCAAATGAAATAGTTCATAATAGTTGAATAATATATACAAGCTAGGATAATAACATGTCAAGAAAAACAAAAAGGTTGATTAAAACAATTAACATGATATCGTACATAATAGTTTTACTTTATGATCCTATTTGTATACTTTAGAGAGAAAGTGATACCCACCATATATACATGCATGATGGCAAAGATGTCTTACTTGGGGATATCACCGGGCCACTTAAGTGTCACTACGGATTGCGCATGACTTCAATTAATCAATTCCAACTTGTCTTAAAACCTGCTGAGCTTTGATTGGATTTAATTACCATCAACTTTCCTGGTTTCATCCCTCACCAAACCAAATCAGTGGATCCCTTTTTCTTTTCCAATTATTATTTAGAAGGAAAAGGAACAACCTAAATCCTTGTTTTTAGCTGGCAATTTGTAGGGTGTTACACCTCAATGAATATATATCTTTCGGATATATTTACTCGAAGAGTCACCATTTTGTCACGTTTGACAAAAAAATTTATCAACCGTCACGTTAACAGTAAATTTTGCTAAAATGTCACGCGGCATATTTCGCTACACTGTGTAGCGAAATATGTTTGCAAGTAATTTGCTACACAGTGTAGTGAAATATGCCATGTCAGGATGCACAGTCAGCAAAAATGACACGTGTCAAGCAGGCAGAATTCAAGCATAATTCGCTACACAGTGTAGCGAATTTCTGCCTGCTTGACACGTGTCATTTTTGCTGACTGTGCATCCTGACATGGCATATTTCACTACACTGTGTAGCAAATTACTTGCAAACATATTTTGCTACACAGTGTAGCGAAATATGCCGCGTGGCATTTTGGCAAAATTTACTGTTGACGTGATAGTCTGATAATTTTTTTTGTCAAAGTGTGATAAAATATTCACTCTTCCATATTTACCGGTTTATCAAATCTATTATAGGGGGTAGCTTTACCAAGATTATTTTCTTAGCTCCAGGTTCGGATTCAAGACTTTTGGTTATTAAAGTTACACCTTAATAATACAAAATTTAATAGTATTGTAAAGCCTTGACTTAGTTATTTAATATTATCTTTTATAACTTCAATTTGTTATAATCTCATTCTTTATTGTTATGGGGTTTATTTCAAAAGTTAAAGAATCCTACCAAGGTGTTACGAGGTTAATTAAAAACTTATAGACTGATCATATTTATAAAATTATAAACTATGGTGATAAAGTTACATAACTTTTTTAAAGATAATAACAAAGTGGAGCGAACCCTTTGTATCATATTATAGAGAGTAAAGTTGGTCTACTCTTTTGGGGCATTTACTTAATTGGTATAATTATATCCTAATATTATTAATTTGAAGTAATTTTTAAATTTATTTTTAAAGTAACGTAAAATTTCCACACAAAAAAGGCGTAAGTTTCAATCAATATCTCATATTAATTAGTTATATGTTTTAAACACATTTTATGCAAGTCATACTCGTCAAGCATAAATTAAATTACTATAATGTCACCGGCTAAAGATAAGATTTTGGTTAATTTAGTTTTTTTTTTTAATTATTTCAAGTCATGGCTAAGAAAAGTAGCATCAACAATCGATTTAACATTTATCCTCAAGTTGAAATTGATTTAACATATATCCTCAAGTTGAAAGACAGACTATAATATTGTCTAGTTGGCCTGAAATTGTCACAACTTAACCAATTCCAAAATTTACGATAAAATAGATATTTGCTTCATGCATTTTATTTCAGACTTATAAAGAACTTTTCACATTAGCATGGATCCTTCTATCCACAAAATGCACACATTAATAAAATAATGAAAACTAAATTATATCATTTCGCAACATTTATACCAAATAGAAACCAAAAGTATTACCTGTTTATCCAATATAACCATCTTTACATTGTCATTACAATCTTTCCAATACAAATTAGGAACATTCCAAGTCCTAACCACCCTAACCTTAATCCTCTAGTCTTCCTTGGTAGGATTAAGATCCTTAATAAAATCATATTTAGAATATACAATGCAAAAGAACGACTTGAGAAGAAGAAGAAGAAAAAGAAAAGAAACAAAGAACATAAGAAATATGTGTAGAGAAGCCAACTTTTCAAAGAATGAGTAATTTTCGGCAAGGGTTTCAAATAGAGAAAAATAAGAAAAATGTCTCATTTAAATAAAAAAAGGAAACTAAATATGATGGCTAATCAACCCCTTGATTAGCGCCCCTTCACTTTCTAATTATATTAGATAGTTTCCTTAATCAATCTAATTATTTGATTTCCTTAATTTGAGTCAATCAATATAATTAATTGGTTTCCTTAATTTTATTCATTGTCATCAAATATAATTTCATGACTATATTTAAATTCAAAATTCAAAATTAGAATTCAAATTAATTTTATTAATTTAATATTTAAATTAATTAGTTTGCATCATGAATAAAGTCTCACTTGACCCATAACACATGTAGTTTAATTTTTTCTAAAGACCTGCTTAAGATGGAAAGTTTACTCTTTTTAAAAGAATCTAAATAAATTATATGTGACAAAACTTTTCATAAAACGACTCTGAATTATAATATAGTATAAATTATAACTCGTGATCACGACTTAGATTAAAAAAGTTAAATTATTTTATTTTACTCAATCCTTAAGTCATTAGCTGTGGATACAATTTCATCTCAATAAATAAATATTTTTTTTTTTGGAATTACAGGAAATCGAACACACTACCACACACCCACACCCACACCGCCCTAGTGGATATAAATTAATTTTTCTAGTGTGTGTGGTAAGTCCACAACTTAATTAAACTAAATAAAAAATTAACCATATACTAATTTGTGTTTAGTGTTGACAACTTTGATAGAAAATTTGTCCGAATTTTTTTTTCTGCAAATTAATTGTTTAAATTCAATATTTTTTATCTTTTACTTTCTTTTGAGAAATACCTTTAAATTACATCAAATGGATAATTCAATCTCACAGACTCACATATTAATTTAGAATTCATTCTCTCTCTCTCTTTTTTTTTTTTTTTTGGTAAACGAATTCATTCTCTTTGAGACTGATTAAACTTTTAAAACATTCAATTAATTTGTGTAATTTTAATTTTTAAATTAATTAGGTATACTTCTTTCATAATTGTAAAATATACGAATGAACAAACTATTGATTAAAATTAGGGGATTCCAACTGACCATGGAAAAATGTATTGCATATTTTTTCTTTTTCTTTTTTTCTAATTTGATGGCCCCCAGCATAGCATGTTCCCTTGTCTCTGGAACAACAAGAGATATAGATTCACAATCCCCTTAAAATTAATATAAAATTACAGCTAGCGAGTAAAAAAAACCGATTCCTTCACTAATCCATTGACCTTGACCAAATTATTGGAATAGTGATCTTTTTTTGGTTTTGTTGTCTATTATTTTGGACCGAACAAGTGTTCGTTTTATATTTGCTTCCTCAACAATAAACGGAAACTTCTTTGCCATTGAATCTTTTTAATATGGTCCAGCATCACCCGTCATTTTTTTACTAAAAACTTAACACTTAGCGGACGTTTGGTACGCGGGATTTTGAGAGATTCTCGGGAACTGAATTTTTCTAAATTTTAAATTTTCAGATATTATCGTAAACTGAACGTAAAAATCATATTTTTGAAAATTGAGTTTCCCGGACAAATAAAAATTTCTCCTATACCAAACGCCATCAATTTTGTTTTTTCCCTCTCTCTCTCCTTTTTTTTGAACCTTTTTTCTCTTTCTCTGGTTTCAGTCACACCAAACTTTTGTTGATCCCCAGGCACACTAACTTCACTTCTTCCTGTTGGATCTTTCTCGACCAGAGAAGAAAAAAACAAAAAACACACACAAACAACTCAAATTCATTTTTTCAAACATCAAACAAAAAAACATTTCATAGTTTGAGACCACCACCGCCAGTGCCAAAACGGAAACAATAAGCCGCCCCTAGTATATGGAAATATTTTCGGTGTTCTAGAACATTGAATACTCCTCCTTTTCCTAAAATGAAAAATTGTAATTCCATTTAAATATTTTATTTTTTTTTCATAAAAATTCCTCCATTTTTTATTTATTTATTTTCGGACATATAAATTTTTTATTTTTTTCATAATTCTTTTTTTTTTCTTTTGGAATGGACCATGATGGTTCAAGACGACCAAAAAAAGCGCTCCTAGTATATGCCATTTTCCATTTTCCATTTCCATTTCCAAGCACCTTCCACTGTCCTGTGTGTTTCAGTTACCACTTTCTCAAGGCACAATCACAAACCTTTCTACTATATAACGCTTACTCTTTTCTGCACCCTTCTCATTCATCAACTACACAACACTACACAAAACAAACAAACACCCTTCAAACACCCATCAATACATACAAACTTCATCTCAACACAAAACCAAAACCCATCAAACAAAGTAACAAACTTCACTACAAAAAAAAACAGTTTTTGTCTTGTTTTTTTTTTAGCATCCTCTTCCTTTTACAATATTCTCCTTTTCTCTCTCCTTCCGATTCTCACTGAACCTCGGAAAACGCGAAGCCTCTGAACACCCACCTGACACAATGGACACAAAGTTAGGATCTTTGAACTCAAGCAAGCCTACAAGCAACGACGTCGTGTCATGCACCGCAAACAGCACAACGGCCATTCAGACTAGTATTCCGGCGACGGCGATCTCTTGCGGCGGAGAGGCCACGCTGGGCTGCCACCTCGCCCGCCGTCTGGTGCAAATCGGCGTCACCGACGTGTTTTCCGTTCCCGGCGACTTCAACCTCACGCTGCTTGACCACCTCATCGCCGAGCCGGCGCTCAACCTCGTCGGCTGCTGCAATGAGCTCAACGCCGGATACGCCGCCGACGGCTACGCCCGGGCTCGCGGCGTCGGTGCCTGCGTCGTCACCTTCACCGTCGGTGGTCTCAGCGTCCTTAACGCAATCGCCGGAGCTTACAGTGAGAATTTGCCACTCATTTGCATCGTTGGTGGTCCCAATTCCAACGATTATGGCACCAACAGAATCCTTCACCACACCATTGGGTTACCAGATTTCAGCCAAGAGTTGAGGTGTTTTCAAACCATTACTTGCTTTCAGGTTTCAAATCTCAAACTGAGTCTTCTTTATTTGATTTTTTTTTTTTTTTTTTTTTTAAATTTGGTGTTATGTGAATGTTTCATGAAGTCATGGATTGATTTGCTGCTACTTTTGGTTTGTTTGTGGTGGATTTCTCTGATTGTGTTTTGTGGGGGTTTTTTTTTTATTTTTTATTTTTTATTTTGTTTGATGTTGAGTGTGAGTTTGATGAGTTGTGTTAACATGGTTTTGATGATAGGCTGTGGTGAATAACTTGGAAGATGCTCATGAATTGATCGATACAGCAATCTCAACTTCATTGAAAGAGAGCAAGCCTGTGTATATAAGCATTAGTTGTAACTTGCCTGCTATTCCTCACCCAACTTTCATTCGTGAGCCTGTTCCTTTTTCATTATCTCTCAAGTAAGTCTTTTTTTTTTTTTTTTTAATGTGAGTAATTGTGAAGATTCCAATTATTGGAAATGTTGATGATTGGGGGTGGAGCATGTACAATGATTGTATTCATCCCATACGCCCTAGTCAGGGTTTAATGGAGAATTTTTTATTTTTTATTTTTGTTGATGATTGGTGGTGTTTTTGCAGAGTGAGTAATCAAATGGGGTTGGAGGCTGCAGTGGAGGCAACAGTAGAATTCCTGAACAAGGCAGTGAAACCAGTGCTAGTGGGTGGTCCTAAACTAAGGGTTGCAAAAGCATCTGATGCCTTTGTTAAACTTGCTGATGCATGTGGTTATGCACTTGCTGTGATGCCAGCAGCCAAAGGGCTAGTTCCTGAGCACCATCCCCATTTCATTGGAACTTATTGGGGTGCTGTTAGTACTGCATTCTGTGCTGAGATTGTGGAGTCTGCAGATGCATACTTGTTTGCTGGTCCCATTTTCAATGACTACAGCTCTGTGGGGTATTCACTTCTTCTCAAGAAAGAGAAGGCAATCATTGTGCAGCCTGAAAGGGTTGTCATTGCAAATGGACCTGCATTTGGGTGTGTGTTGATGAAGGATTTCCTCATGGCACTTGCAAAGCGTCTCAAACACAACAGTACTGCATATGAAAATTACCACAGGATATTTGTCCCTGAAGGGCATCCTTTGAAGGCTGCACCCAAAGAACCTTTGAGGGTTAATGTTCTTTTCCAACATATACAAAAGATGCTATCTGGTGAAACAGCTGTAATTGCTGAGACAGGAGACTCATGGTTTAACTGCCAAAAACTGAAATTGCCAAGGGGATGTGGGTAAGTATATGAGAGAAAGTGATTTGTTTCATTTATCATCTTTTTTTCTTCTTCTTAGTTTGATAAAAATATTGTTGACAGGTATGAGTTCCAAATGCAATATGGCTCAATTGGATGGTCTGTTGGTGCAACTCTTGGTTATGCACAAGCTGTCCCTCAGAAGCGAGTGATTGCTTGCATTGGTGATGGAAGCTTTCAGGTTTGTCTTGCATAATTTACTTAAAAGCATGATGATTTCAATCAAAATGTAATTTTATTTTTCTTTAGGCGTTTCAAAATTTGTTCTAAATATTAACTCAAAAACAAATCTTGAACTGAATATGGTGTTCTTATCTTTCTTTAAATTCATTTTTAGGTGACTGCTCAGGATGTGTCAACAATGCTGCGATGCGGGCAAAATACCATAATCTTCCTAATAAATAACGGTGGATACACCATTGAGGTTGAAATTCATGATGGACCATACAATGTGATTAAGAACTGGAATTACACTGGATTGATTGATGCAATCCACAATGGTGAAGGGAAATGCTGGACTGCAAAGGTGAGTAGTTTCTTTCTTGACATAGTGAACTCTCATCAAACTTCACTTCTTAAAAAATGGATAAAGTGCTGATCTTGTATCCTTTCATGCATGCTTAATTTCAGGTCTTCTGCGAAGAGGAGCTAGTTGAAGCAATTAACACAGCAACAGGACCAAAGAAAGATTGCTTATGCTTCATTGAGGTGATTGTTCACAAGGATGACACAAGCAAAGAGTTACTTGAATGGGGTTCTAGGGTCTCTGCTGCTAATAGCCGTGCTCCCAATCCTCAGTAAGGTTCAGAGTTCAGCTTATTACTACATTGCTGGAATTGCCCTTTTAACTCAACAAAATTGAGAACCCTTTTAAGATGTCCTTGTACGGTGTTTACTTTTGTTAATGGCTTGCACATTTATGTATCTGAGTCAACTTGTTTGTGTAAATTCATTCCCTTGATATAAAAATCAATCCCCATCACCTTTTTTTATTTTGTAATGCCTCGCTGTTTCAAGATTCTTACGTGAAGCATATTTTTTCTTCTTCTCTTTTTGTTTATTTGGTACATTATATTAAGCATCTTTAATTGGGTTGTGTGTGGAAAAGATGCGTCTGAATTCACAAGATGGTTGTGTGAGTATTAGTTTTTTTTTTTTGTATAACAAGTGTGAATATTAGTTAGGCTAGATTAAGTTATACATTATTTTGATGTATTAATTGAGCTTATACTATATGATAGTTACAACAAATAATTAAAAATATCGTAACGTATAATATAAATTTATATTATCAGGATCACACCGAACCGGCCTTATATGACGAAACTCGTTTCACATCAAATTTTATATTATTTATTTATTCATTAATCATCCACAAGTTGCACAACATGAGATTTTTATAGGTAGTAAAACCATCCACGCACATTTTCATGCACATTATCTCGCAGCTAGTTATATAATCTTATTATATGAGAAGCGAGTTTGAAATTGATATTTTATTTTTCATTGCAAAATAACAATACTAAGTGAAAATAAGTTTTTTATTGTATTATAGTTTTACATTGTTGGTTTCATCTAAACCAATTAATAGCTTTGAAATTAAAATTTGATAAAACATTTGGCAAGCGTGCAACTTTAGGATCAAAGACTATTAAATCATTCACAAGGTAACTTGTGAGTGGTGATATTATCATATTAGTTGCATAACAGAAGGTGGTGGATTTTTATGCTTAGTGAATTTATGTAGGGGTTTTATAAGAGTTATGTTGTAGGAAAAGTGATTGTGTAATGTTATAGAGATTCGTTTTGCGTGGCTTAACTTTTTTAATTTTTTTTTGTTTTAAAAAGTGTGGGTCCCATAAAATATTGTGTGTGTAGGAAATTTGATGGTGTCATGTTAAAGGACAAACAACAATCCCTTTATGTAGTGCTTAAAATACATGCTTAAAATAATTTTCTTTATCTACCCAAAAACTTGACTCATGTCAAGCTTTCATGAGTGGGCTTAGCCCCATAAAGTGATTTGTAATGGAAAACAGAATGACAACTAGCCACCACAGTCTGGTGATTTAAATTGTCATATTCAGTTATGTCTGCTATGTGCTACTTATGAATTTACAAAATAGTGAATATTCTTTTAAGGATATTATTAGATTCTTACGGTAGTGGACAATCTATTTTTGAAAATGACAGGCATTGTATGTTTCTGATGTGGTTTTATAACATTTTCAAAAAATATTTCGTTAAATATAATTTTAAAACTGCTGTTAACAATAAAATTAGTGAAAATTGTGTTTGGATTTTTGGTAGAGAATGCAAATATGCAACCATTTTGTAACCAGGGGAAAAAAAGAGTGTAATAATTTGTGTATTGCAACCTAATTGTATTTTCCATTAAATAATAAAGGAGTTGATTGGCGGCATAATAGTTAATAAAAATAATATAAAATAAAATATTGAATTAAATAAAAATACAATAAAACTTAGGTGAACTCTTTGAAATTACTTAACTCAATTATATTATTTCATCGCTTACTTGAGCCCAATTTCTAAAAATATAAAGGGAAAGATATTTTTCATTTAATGTAGAAAAGATATCTGCAGTATACTATGTACTAATACATAGTGTAATTTTTGAAATTAACTCTATCTTTGTTTACATTTCAAAAGTTACACTATATACTATCCATAATGATAGTATATTACATGTATAATGTATTACAGGTAGAAAAGTTAAACCCAAATATAAAAGGGATAACAACTTCTCCTGTTGGTGGAGAAGTTATTATTTTGCAGCTGACACAATAATTAGGAGAGAGAGAAGAGGAAGAAGTGAGAGAAAAAAAATTGAAGTGGGCTCCGCCATTTAATGTATCTACAACATGAGAAGGCTATTCTCCTTTGAAAGGAGAAGTATAAACCCAAATATAAAATAGCTAAAAGCTATCAGTTGAAAAAGGCCCCTACTCTGCTTGACCAATATTAAAATTTGGAACAGTTTTTAAACTTTTTTCCATGGGCTATGTTTTGTCTTGCTAATAATGTATGCAAGTATGGCGTGTAACATACCCGATCAAAAGTAATAAAGAAGTATTAAGATTTCAATATTGTTCCCACAAAAATCATGGTTTTATTTTTCAAGTTGCATCACTTTGTAATTGCTTAAAATAAATAAAAAGAAAAATTGAGAGTTAAACGATAGCAAAAAAGAATTAGTTTTTTTGTTATATCAACCGTAATTTTTTCTTTGTGGTGAGTCGGTCTTCCGAGTATTCTTATAAACTTTAAATTTTTTGAGTCGGTTACGAGACTATCCCGAGTCGGGACTTAGTTACATTTAAAGCTCTTCGTCCCTTTCTAAAGATTATTTGATGAGAATTAAATTTAAATTTTTTTCCCACCTACTTAGCCGGTGCGTCAAAACTAGTTTGTTGAGGATAAAAAAACTTCGATCTACATGTACTTAAAAAAATTAAAATGAATTGAAAAACTGGTTTAAAGAAATTTTAAGAGATTGCTTGTAAAGGGAAAATTACAAAAACAGAATTCAATTGATAAATTGACTAAACTTAAGTTGGAATGGTTAAAAGAAAATGATCTTGAAACAGTTAAAAAAATAGGTTGGGTTTTAATTTCCCTTCCCCTCAAGTGTCATCAGGATGAAGAACACGTGATGTTGCTTTGCCAAGAGCTCTAGATTAACAAAACACAAATGTTAATTCTAAATGTTTCAAAACTTATTTTCTCCCAAAATTCCTAACAACTTGCACATTTTTGTGAAAGTTGAAACATGAAATAATAAGTCTTGGTTTGTATATTACATGGTAGTTATCCTTCATTTCTAAAGCAAGATTTGTTGAGTAATTTCTCACTCTACTCCTTGCATCTGTTTTTATGCTTGCAATGAAAAATACTTTCATCTTTTTGTAAGAAATTTTTATAATAATTGTGGGCTTCAATCAATTGTAGTTTTTTTTCTTGTTTTAATAAAAATGGGCTAAGTCATGATCCATAAAGGGGTGCAGTATAAAGCCCATTTAATTAGTGATCCTTTTGTTTGGGTTTGGATATCTGTAAATTGATTAGTGTGGGTAACAGTGTAGGCCTAACTCATAGGCTCATGATGGGAAGGGGGCTAGGGTTAATAAATTTGGCTAGGTCCCCTCTGCATTCACAACGTGTTAGAAAACCGTTACTCCACAACTCGCCCCATCGACGGTTGTGATCAGGGAGTGGTGTGAAATGCATAGGAAGATCCTAGTCTTTCCATTGCAGGAGCATTAGAGGAAACAAAAGCTTCAATAAATCAAGAATCAAGTAAGTCTGAATCTTTTGGTGTTCTAATATCATATAATCCTATTTTGAAATTTTCTTATATTTGGTATCAGAGCCTATATTATACGATTTAGAATCCAATTACATGATGAAATATACTTTTGGAGTTAATCGTTTCCCTTAGTTTTGAATTAAAGTTTTTTTTTTTAATTTATTTTGAATACTGTTATGGAAATTAGATGAAATGTTATTTGACGCTTCCATACCACTTAAGCGATTTATAAATTCTTGTTTGTCTTTTGAATACTGACAGCGTTAATTAAGAGAAGGAAGGTCTATTTCTTAATTTAGTCAGGTTATTCATCTTTGGTTTTGCTTGACGTGAAAATTTGACAAATTATTGATTTTATGACCCAAGTATATTGCAGGTCATTTTAATTGATCGTTTTGCTTTCAATTAAACTATAGTTTTATGGTTGAAAATCATATAAAAAAAATGGCATATTGTATGCTGAATTAAAACTCATATTGGTCTTGAAAAACGGACCTGATTAGAATCGCTGGTTGACGAGTTTGATGGTGAAAATTTATTTGGATCCTTTTGAATGATGTTCATAGGCATGTTGTGGAAATCTGTTGCTATCCATTTGTAATAGCATTGAATTTTAAATTCTTGTGTGGTTTATTTATTTATTTATTTTCAAACATCGAAAAACAAAATTTAGCTTGATTTTACATTTTGTATACAATTAGCATTGATCTGTTAGCACTACAGGTTGTATTATTATTATTTTTTTTTTTTGTAAATAGGTTGTATTATTTTTAATCAATGCTCACAACTCGTTTGTAATTTGTTTTGGCTTCGTAGCAGTATAACGAGAAATCTATTTGTTAATATAATAGTATAACAAATTGTTAATATGCTGATAATTATAACTTTTCAAATTTATTCTGTCTTCGAATTAATCATTTATCTTATCGTTATAATAATTTGAAATATGCTTGTGTATGCAGTGCAATGTCAATTCAAAAATCATAATTGAAATTTTATATATATATATATATATATATATATACTAAGAATTCAATTATAGAGTTTGTTTCGCCACACCAGATTATAAGGCATATGTATTTTATTGTTGTCGTGAAACAAATGTTATAGTTTGAGATGCTGGATTAGTAGATGATGAGTAATGAAAGACAAATAAGATGTTTAATATATTTTATATTTAGTTTTTATTCTAATGAGATAAATATTAAAAATTAAAATAAAATATGTACATTATATTTTATTTTACTTTTTGAATATAGCTTGAAGAAAAATATGATGAAAAATTAATATTTTATATTTTACATCAAATGATGATGTGTTTTGGATATTATATTCTAATGCTTGCTATAATATATTTTTTATTGAGGTGCATGCTTCCGCTTGAATTATTTGAGTGCAAAATTTTGTTAGAAATGCTATTATCTTTAATTCATTATCATTAGAGATATTACACTTTTTTGTGGACTGGGTTGTGGTTTTGGACAAGAGAAAATTAATTTTTGGCGCAAGAGTTTTCGTGAATTACTATGGGTAATTGCCACCAAAGTGGGATTACTTATATTGGTTTGTGAAAATTTCTTTGTAAAATTTGAGAAATAATTTTGGTTATTTCATGCAATTTCCTGCCCAAAAGGGGTAATTGTGTGTTATAACTGTGAACTTGTTTGGGATGAAGTTAATGGAGGTGCATTGATCTAAGTGATCTGTCTGCCCAA